GAGTAATTTTCTTTCCATAAGCATACTTCATAAATAAATTGCACCTGTGCCTGGTAATTAAAAACAGACAAAACAAAAACAAATAACGAAACATACTGTTTTCAATTAGAAGTTGTATTTATGACTTTGAGAAGAGTGAATTTTCTTTCTTTAACTGATTACCGAGAAAAGCGTTTGGGGAGGAAACAGAAGAGATTGCTAACTGCTCAGATGTGCCAGAGAAGGTACCAGCTTACTAAAGAAATACCAAGTTTCCGTTTCCTTTGAATCATCTTTTCAGTGCTTAGTAAAGTGGTGACCCAATGACAGGCATAGCATACTGGCATGCACTGGATCCCAGCGTGCTCATGTTTCGTCATAAGGGTGGTCTAGTGTTTTCTTCGGCAATTTCCAATATCAAGCCCGATTCTTTGTTCTTCTGTTGATCATATAGTTCCAATGAAACAATAGAAATCTTTCGCTTAAGAAGATAAAGATGTACTTTTGGTGTTAAGTACTAAGCGTATCTGTAGCATTATAGCCAGCCTATTTAGGGCAGATCTCCATAGTTGTTCTGAAATAGAACAGAAGCCGGCTTGTCCTCTCTCTGTGGACCTGGATCTCACAGCTGACTCGGAGACTGAGAGGATATAACCTTGGATGGCCAACAATAATACATAGCTCTGTTTGGGAAGTAATGTTGTCTTTTTTTCTCTAATTCAGATAAATGCTGGCGATGGCCAAATCTCAAAAGATTCACTCTTGGGTGGATAAATGTTCTAGCATTCATTTATTTCTTCCAGTTTCTCCAAACCTCTTAATCTAATGTGGAAAATCCCATAGCTTTCTGGAGCCTTCTGTTATCACCTAGAGCAGGTCTGTTTTTTTCCTTATCTTTTAGCATTTCACTTCAGGAAGAAAAGAAGCCTGTGAAAAGTCAAATGAAATCCAAACCAAGTAAGGAAGCCAAAGCCATTTCTTCTGAAAATTTTTCTTCAGATCCAGTGATTGCTTACTAATCCTTCTTCCCTAAATATTCTGCATCCTTAAATGTCTCTCCCATATTGCTGTATTTCAAATATAAGGATAACCTGTTTTTCCTTAAAGAAAGGACTACAAACAGCATGAAGAGGAATGGAGAGTTGATCATTTTGCAGATTTGTGAGGGGATCTTCTGTTCCTTTGTTTATAGAGCTGTTGCATAGCAGTAGTGATACCCTTTCCCCTGCCTGTCAGTTTTTTAGGTTAGGAATCCCAGGAACAAAGAACCAGCAATCAGCTTTTACTGATAAGTCAGCCTGTGCACACATTATGGGAGTGCCAATGAAGAACTCCTTCAGGGTACATAAGGAATTCTTACAGTAGTAATTTAAAAAATCAAAGCCACAATTTGCTTTTATCTACTGTACTATCAGAGTAACAAGGTCCTCAAGAAGGGTCCCAGATTCAATCAGGGACAATCCCACTGGAGGCAGCAAGCTAGGAGAGAAATAGTTGGAGGTCATCACAAACTGGGAAAGTATTCTGCTGTTATCACAGTAGGTGGTAAGAAAACAAGTCAAACCTACACAGGTACTTATCCTCTTCCCCCTCCACTAGTGGCTCACTGACTTCTTGGCATCATTTCCAAGATTTAGTCTACACAGGCAAATCGAAGCCAACCCAGTTATGCACAGTAATTCACTGTTAAATTCACTTTCTAATCAAAAGAGAAGAGATTTTTCTCTCCTCTGTCCTCCACATATTGCAATATCTCTGACTTCTTGAACCCTAAGGGACTGAATACTTACACAAATAATCACTCGCCTAGAATGAAAACACTGATTTTCCCAACATACAAACTCATGTAAATTATTTTGTTTTTTGTGGGGGTTACCTAGCACATCTTGTGTTGTAGGAATTGTTGTAGGAATTTCAAAAATATTGATTCACTAAATGAATAAGTAAAGGAAAATCAGTGGGATGATAAAGTAGACTTCTTTAAAAGAATGAGTTGAAATGGGATGGGTTGTGTCAAAGTAGAAGAAAATATTAGTTTGTAAGTTCCTGGAAGGCAGGAACCCCAATATATTTCCCTATAGCCATCGCATTGCTAACACCATAGCATTAGGTACAGCCTAAATTTGATTATGTCTATTAAATGAAACAAGAGCTGCATAACAACTTATCATGACCTCACTGGGGGGAAGTGGGGGACTTTGTAGTACAAGTCCTAAAAGAAATGCTTACAAGGAGACTTATGATATAGGCTGTAATAATCCCTGCTACTGAGGAGGCTGAGGCTGGTGGGTTGCTTGAATTTGGGAGTTCTCAGTTGCAGTACAAGTGAAGTTGATCAGGTGACCACACCAAGTTCAGCACCCATATGGTGGCAACCAGACTACTTGAAAAGTGGCAAACTGGCCCAGGTCAGAAATGGAGCAGGTTGAAGTTTCCATGCTGTTTAGCTATAGGGATAGGATCTAATAGTGGCTACTGCTTTTGCAGCCTTGGTGTGATAAGAAGACCCAGTTTCAAATTAATAATAGTAAAATAAAATACATGCTTAGAAAATATTCTTAAATATTGAAGGAGAGAATGCTCAATACTGCCTTTTAAAACTAGGAACACTCAGAACCCAATTCCTATCACAATGCAGTGATATCTATATTCTCTTTGCTTTACAACAGTTTTCAGAAGACTCTTGTCTGGGTGGTAAGTGAGGAAGAGATAATATATGCTGAAATGGTGTGTCCTATCTTGATAGAATATGATGTCCTCCTTTTATTTCAGTATAGTTTAATGGTAAGGATAAGTTGATAAAGCTCACTTCTGGGAGAGGCATGAGATAGATGTATTCAACACTATCAATATGGCTTTCCATATCAACCATCTTCTTCCTTCAGTAAGTAGAGTTTTTAGGTGTTCTTTACACAACTGTTTATTGGCAAATAACTACTAGGAGTTCTCTTTGCTGATGAAATCACAGGTCCAGAGGAATAACAGTAACCAAAAATCACCGCCAATGGAAGCTAGTAATTGTCACCAACACTTTCTCTCTCTGTGTTCCCTCACTGAAGTAGCAAAGTACAGAAATGATACCATTGTCTGGATATTTAAAGTGGACTTTTCAATTAGCTTTGAGTATCTGGATAGTAAACATTATTGAACACTCACTATGTGCAAGTGTTAGGGCCTGTACATTTCAGATGAACTTGTTTTAAGGCTGAATTATCTCAGTAATTATCTTAATTCTTAGCTTCACTCTGTCTGAGTTAGACCTGGCATCGTTTACAGACTTCTGTGAGATTCTTGGCAGTGTTAAAACTGCAAGTGTCCCCATATGCCTGAAAAATTCTGCTTTTCTATTTCCTATCTGATCAGACAGAAAATATTTCCTTGCCAAATTTGAGGGCAAATAAATGCCAAAAACTTTCTTTTAATAATCAAAGGGAAAAAATAGATAAGTGAGGTCAGAATGTTAGAAAAGTTGAATGAAAAAGCCTGCAGTATTCCATGTGTGTTCAGCAATAGTTAGCATAGATATCTCGGTTGTAAGGTCAATTATAACTGAAACTCTTTTTTTTTTTCCTTTCCAGGTTTTATGAACCAAGAGAAAAGGAAAGGTTTCTCTTTTTTTTAGTATTCAGAGACCAGGATTCACACGAGAGAAGCTGATCTGAGTGGCTGAGCCAAATATATCTAACTCAAAAATCTGAGTAACTAAGTAAATTTTAGGCCCCTCAACTGTAATTGTCTCTTCCAAAAAGTATACCTAAATGTGCCATCCTCAAATTATGGAATTCTTGCTCATTTGGGAGACTTAGCATCCTATATATTTACATTTGCTTACATGCATTGAATTAATTTCTGAGCATCTCCTTTACTCTTCTTTCCACTGTAGGGAGGATTATACAAGTGAATAAAGATCCCCAACACCTCAGATGGGCAATGCACATTTCTTCTTCAATCCTCTGAGAGGATAATACCTAGAATCTTTTTTTTTAATCAAGAAAAAGGACAGCAAGAGAGTATTTGGAAGAATTTAGGTGATTTAAGATTGAGAACTAGATATCTGAATTAGACAGCCTTTCCTGTGGCAGAAAAACTGCAGTAACATTTTCTTAAGAACTCAGAACTTAATAGGAGCCAAGCTGTAGCCCTGTTATTCTTTTTTAGATATGGAAATTAGTGGGGGGGTGTTAAAAGATGAGGAAGTAAAATTAGAAAAATACTGAGAAAAGGAAAGCATTATTCAGGGTAAGCATGTCATTCTCTGTCCCTTTCAAAATAATTGAAAACAATGCAATATGTTTCTATATGGTGATGAAAACAGAGAGCTAGCAGTTTGCGTTAGTCGTAGAGATGCCAGATGTTCCAACAGTGTGTGACTTAGAAATGCTACAAACAAGAGGTTTCTACAGTCAAGAGAATCCTTGGAGATAGAGTCAGATTGAGGAGCTAGTACCAAGCTGGGGGTTTAGGCAAAGGTATAATGGCTGGATGTGTTCCTGCTTCTTGGAGTCCCAAAGGACGGTAGTGGAAAGCCCTGACTGAGCTGTCACAGAATACAAGGTCAAGCTCTGTACCAGTTATACCCACAGGCCCATTACAGAGGGAAAGTGAACTTAGGTCCCTAAGATACCGACTTCCTTACTCTCAAAACAAAAAACTGTGAAATTTTGCCCACAGGGCCTTCTCCTTCTAATCTATCAGTCTTTAAGGAAGAGAATTAGTCAAGGGCCTGAGGAATTGGGCTGATAGTTCCCATTAATAAAATACAGCCCTGACCTCTATGGTTTAATACAGCATCTCAATGATCTATTCTTTCTATGCATCGTTTAGTATTAGGGTTTAAGCAAAAACTCCAGCACTCAGCGAATAAATGAGAAAGCAATCCAAGGCCTACTCAGACTTTGAGGGAAGAAAAGATCAGAAGAAATAACGAAAGCTTTGAAGGTTGAGCCTTGGATCATCTGGGCCTCTGCAACAATTAAAAAAAAAATACTTGAAACCTAATATTGGATATTTGGCTTCACATTGACAAACTTTATTTTGGAGTTTTATAAGCTAAAATGTTACTGAAAACCAATTTCCTTGCTAGCTGATTTGGAACAATAATACCGGTTTATGAAGCTCTGCAGTTTTAAAATGCCCTCCTTATCAACAATATCCTGACAGGACAAAAATAATTCCTCTGTCCCTTCCACCCTCTCTCCCGCCCTTGAATTTTACATCATTTTCTTCCTTTTCTGGGTTCTCCTTCTACAAGACCAAGCTGTTGAGGGAACACAGTCATGTAAAAAAGTGTGGAAGTGGTGAGCATGGAAACCATGGAAATGAAATGTCCTTCCGTCTGAAGTTAACACTGCTTAGTAAAGGTTCTTGCTTTTGTTTCCAGAGGCCCCCTTCAGGTGTTACAACTGCTATCAGAGTCAGCACCAAGCCAAACCAAAAGGAGCCAGCAGAAAGAAGGACTTTACATCATCTAGGTCCATTAAGTCATGCCACTAAAAAAAGTACAGTGAGAAATAAGTCCAAGTGCATTCTCAGTCATAACTGTGGGCAGAAGAACCCATAAGATTCCTCACTTTGGTTCTAAATAACAATTTTTTAAAAAGCTTTTAGAAATAAAGCAAATACATGGTGGGCCTAGGAATGTGAGCCGTCCCAGGTTACTTGTCCACTGAAATAAGTCTCATCCCTAGTCATAAATAAATAATTTCTTTCCTGGTCTCACTTCCACGCCAGGATCAATATCTCTTAACATCTTACTTATTTTATTACTGCTTTTGGTTTTCTGGGGCTGATTGAAAGTTGCTCAGAGGAAATCTTTGGTTTTGCTTAAGTGTCCGTGACATTTAATCATGACTTTCCTTGCAGTTTAATTCCAACCAGTCAATCAGTTAATCCACTTCAATTGATTCTGGGCTCTCTGTTATTGGCTTGCACTCATTGGGCATCCGTTGGTGTCGACTCAGCTGGGTGGCCTGCGTGAAGCTCCTCTCACACCTCTCGCACCTGGTGGAGGCAAGAGAGAAAATTGAGACCAGGGAGCTGCTCCTGGGGGGCGGTGGGCTTTGTCTCATCCTGCCTAATCAGAACAGACACTCCAAAGCGGCTTCAGATTTTACCGGCTCAAGAGGTTTAATTGGTGGCTCCTTCCAAGGCCTTGATGCCTATGATGGGACAAGGCCTGTCTGATTCAGAACAGAGGGATCTGTCAATAGGCAGGGGGAAGGTGATTTCTCCAGAGAGGCCTGTCCGGCTGTAGCTCTGATCGCTGTCAGTTCAAATAGATAAAGAACAAAAAGAGATTTTTAGGAGTGAGCCATCAAAGAAGCAGCTTGTCTGCAGTTTTCTGCTCTGTAACCCCAAGAAGAAATTGATGACAAATAGAATTTCACCTTCTGCTAATTTAAAACCAGAATTTCAACTTCTGTGAGTATGGGAGACCCAGGGTGTTCATCTCTTAGTTTGGAAACAAGAGGAAGCACTGCATTTGTTTGCAATGCTGTGGGAGGTTGGTTGCTTTTTGTATAAGTTGCTCACATTAACACAGCCCAGCTTTACTTTGGGCAAAAATACAATATTTAGATATTTTAAGAAAAAAAAAAAGCTGAAATACAAGTCCCTAGGGTTAGTTTACCTGCCCCAAGATTGCAGGACAACAAATGATGGGATGAAAAATGAGGTTCCTCTTCTTCACAATATCTCCAGTCCCTAATTGAAATAAGAATATTCCCTAGGAGAGTTGGCGGTATACCACAGCAGTGAGCTACGTAGATCTCCCAGTCTTTTTTCTATGTTCACTCACTTCAAAAAAAAAAAATGTTTGTCTCCAAACACCAATGCCCACCAATGGATGTAATTGTTTACACACAAAGAAGCAGCATTATAGGCCGTCAGCTATCATGTGAGCCACAGTGGTGCTCAGTGCCACTATTTGCCCATTGTGCACAACCAATTATCAGGAATGGCTGCCTTCCACATTTAGCTGCACTCCTTCATGCTCATAATTTCCTTTCCCCATATCTTCAGAGAAAAAGAAGCTACAGGGAATTTCCCACTATCACCTATCCTAAAATCCTTGTTCATGAAGTTATCCCTGTTTTCTGGTGCCATGTGTTACCCACACTGTGAATGAAAATCTCAACATTCATCTCATGATGATCTCATGATGAATTTAGACATTTCCCTTCCACCACCAGGGATTCAGGAAAACAATACTCTCTGCTACCTGCAGAGCATTTTGCTTTCTACTCTTCTCTAAATTACAGGTGTCCTGCCACCAAATAATTATTTGTGAAAATTTAGACCAAGGATTTGTGCATAGTCCTGAAATTTTTACATAGCTTTTAATGAGGAATTGTGTGTTTGGGAGTTAGAGTTCTTAGATGACGTGTTCATTCATCAGGGTCCCTGCACCTGCTGAGCGTGTCAAGTGTCCGTAAGTTGTGTTTCTTTGATTGTCTTTCCAGGCTTATTTTTAGCAGCCTGCTTCACTGTTAAAAACTGCACTGTGATCTTGACAAATGTAGAATGTCAGCTTTAATGTATCAGACCTATCAGCTCAATGAAAATAACTCAGAAGTATTGATCACTTAATGATTTTTGGTGTATTCATTAACGTCTCTGCGCAGATCATCCTCCCTCCAGAGCTTCTGAAGTGCTGATGACACATTAGTGTATTGCTGATTGTTTATTAGAAAACTGATTAGTTACTGGATTAGTGTGTCAAAATATACTACCTTTCATTGCTTGACAAACTTTCAAATTATTATATTCCTTTTTATCGTGAAGGCACTTGAATCAATTTCAGTGAGAGGATTAGCTCGGACAATTAGGAAGCATAGCACTATACCTAATCTGGGATTTTGGTTTTCCAATACTGTGGGTTCGAATATAGAGTGTTTATGGAGTAAGGTGTTCAAGCTAACATGTATGGAAGAAACCATGTGAGTAGGCATCTAGATATACTTTTTAGACTATCAGCAATAAGGAAAGAGCTACTCATACTAGTGCTGGCTAGTATGGCTAGCTGGCTAGCTGGGAGCTCAGAGACCATCTTGTCCAGTAGTTCTAAGCCTTTTTGTGTGTGTTTCATGGACTCGTAAAGCAGCCCATGGACCTTTCTCAGAATAATGTTTTTAAGTATGAAGAGTAAAATACATAAAATTACAAAGGAAACCAATTTCTATTGAAATGAAGATGTTTTCCCATACAAGTTCACACATCGCCAATGAAGGGGGCTGGTAAATATTTGTATACTGGTACATGGTTAACAATTGGCCATCCAAAGGGGAAAATGTATGCATACATGCTTTTACATTTAATTTGTATTATTAACATTTTGTACATCACTTTCTTTAGGCTAGACAATCAACAAAATAACAAATCAAGTTTTGATTTATAGCATTTGCCAATTTCTGAGGTGTAAATACACTGAAATTTTAACAATCAGCTCACAAGTTGGTTGGGGCTGGCTCTGACACACTTCTGGAATTAGTTTAAGAATGCTGCATCTATATTAACCTCCCCCTTCTACAGATAAGGAAACTCAGGATAAGTAGCTTTAGATTTTCGTCAAATGTAAGTGTAACTTCCTTCTACCCTGGGGCCATGCTGATTAGTGAGAGCTGACTACACCCAGTCAGACTCAGCCTCCCAACCACACTTCCCTGCCATCTTCCTGTCCTGCCACCCTGATACTGCACCCACCCAAATGAAACTCCAGCTCCCATGCTGGGACTGTGCTGACTGGGGAAAGCTCACTACATCTAGCCAGCTCCAGTCACCTGACTAAGCTCCACTGCCATCTTCCTTCCATGCTTCCCTGCACTTATTCTTCGACCCCTCTCCTCCTCGTGCTGTGGTGATATTAATTAAATCAACACTAATAACTGCTTCTGAAAAAGGTGAGCCAATTGATTGTACTATGGCTTTACTAACTATGCCTATGATTTCACTCTTTGCTGACTACCATGCCCCTATGTGTATTGTTTCCCCTATCAGAACATAAGCACTTTGATGGCTGGGACTGTCTTTTTATCCCCAGTGTTTAGAATAATTCCCATCATGTAGTAAGTGCTTAATAACTTTCTTTCCTCTTCCTTTTTCTCCTTCTCTCCCTCCTTTTTTCTTCCCTCCTTCCCTTCCTTCCTAAATTCCTTCCTAAGTATGTATGTGCAAAGAAAATATGATGGTAGTTCTCAAGATATAACTATTTTACAGGAAGATCATTGCTAAAAAAAAAAATCCTCTAGTGTAGTCTACATGTCTGATGCCTTAGAAAGTGAGCAGGTGAGTAGAAGGTGAGGGGATGAGTAGAACAAGTTCTGATTTAATTTGCTTTACTGACAGATTCACCTTCTTGGGAGTGGGTAGAGTACTAACAAAATCAGGTGAGTTAATAAATATTTTACATCACAAATCTGCACAGCAAAAGGTTGGGCAAAGGAAGTTGTGATCTTTTTGTATGAGAGAAAGTGCTCAGGTTAGATGCTCTCAGCGGTAAGCTGGTAAATGTTTAACAACTGGCTCTCCAGGGGGAGAAAATGTACTCATGACACTTTAAGTTTAATCTGCCCATTAGCATTTTCACCCTCACTTCTATAAGTCCAGACCAGGGAACAACAAGTATCGTTCCACCACTGTCTGTTTTTGTAAAGCTTGCAAGATGATTAACAAAACAATAAATCAAACCCCAGTTCATAATGCTCACTAGTTTCCAAGGTGTAAATGCTCACCCTGAAAATTTAACACTCTCTCCTGTAGGTACTAGCTCTAGAATGCCCTTGGGTGTTTATGAGTTGATGGAATACATCCCTTTCTCTGATATCATTTCCTGAATTCGAAAGTAAACACACAGCAAAAATTATAAGTTAAAATACAGCCCTGTACTGGCAAACTAATCCTGATCAATTTTCAAGCCAGGGCAGATCTGTCTTTTTATTTCATAGCAGTGTGATGGGATGAAGAGGAAAAGATGATGATGTTAATGGCAAAGTAGTGGAAAAGAAGGACATATTCTTGAACGTTTCCTTGTGCACTCCACAGACAAGAATGGGATGGGAGTAATGTATTTCATATTCTGAATTGGTTTGCAGATGGCAGAGTTTTTGACAGTGAAGCCAGAAAGTTTGACATGAAACCAGAAAGTCCTAAAAATGATAGCAAAGAAAAATGAAATAATCTTGGTCCTTGACTTTGTATCAGTCTGAAAGTCAAAAGACTAGATTTGAGCTCATTCTTCACTTAAGTAGGTGGCTGATCAGTTTCAGCCAGTCAATAATCATGTATTGTCTACTATGTGTCAGACACAGTCAAACACTGGGGATACAAAAATGAGGCAAAAGATAATTTCTGCCCTCAAGGAGCTTACAATCTAGTGAGGGAGACAAGAAGCAAATAAAAAAAAAATACACAATTAAGTCATATACAGGATAAAGAGGAAATAATTAAGAGTGAAGACACTAGAATTAAGAGGTATCAGGAAAGACTTCCTGTAGAAGATGAGATTTTAGTTGGAACCTACAGGAAGTTGGGGAAAGCAGAAGGTAGAAATGAGGAGGAAGAACATTCCAGGCTTGGAGGATGGCCAGAGAAAATGCTTGGAGCCAAGAGATGGAGTACGTTGTTCATGGAATAGCAAGGAGGTCAGTCTTTGTAATTATGCTATAAGGAGTGGAGGTGGTGGCGTTCACATTCACATTCACACACACATACACACACACATGCATGTATGCATGCTTGTACACACATGCACACACACCTCAATTAATTTCATTAAGATCAAGATACCTCAGTTGAGGTATATCACAGAATCAATCAATAGACTTGATTAGATTTTAATGTGAAAAAAAGCTTAATCTCTACTATGATCCATTTATCAGGTACAAACTGTCTCTCAAGAAGGAAATATTGTGATTGGTTGAGAGAAGGAGTTATGCCTCTGGGACCTATAGATAAAAACAAACTCAATTCATGTGTTCAACAGTTTGGGAGTAGGAGGATTCTAGCCCTAGGAATATCTTACGAAGGAAGACTCCTTTACCTGTATAAGAAAGCAACAAGGAAAGGACCATTTCTTTGAAGCTACTGTACCAGTAGTTTACCGTGCACCCGTCTGGAAGCAGAGATAGACTAAGAAAGACACAAATATGGAGAGATAGTCACCCAAGAGAAGAGATAGCTTCAGAAAGCTTAACGCTGGGGTGGGAAACCTGCAGCCTCAAGGCCACACCCTTGGCCTAATTCTTCATGGTAGAGATGAGTGATAGCTATGAACTTAAGAAATAAGCAAATATTGGAAGGTAGCTGATCAAACTGTCCAGCAAAGAGCTGTACCCAATAGAAGCTGCGTGAGGACCCTACAAAGAGAAAAAGGACCTCTCTACCAAGAGTTGTGAGTTCCCCATTCCATATATTTCCCACTACCATCATACTCGAAACTTAAGCCCACTCTCCCCTCCTATGTGTTTGTGGGACGGTCTGCCCCAGACTTTTGAGGGGAACGTTTTGTACCAACTCATCTTACAATACCACCTTAATGCATGTCTTTGCTAAAAGTGAATTTGCAATTCACTGATTGTTAATGGAAAGCTTACTAGTGGCACAGCTAATAAGCTGTATTAACAAGTTATTAAGAGCTTTCTTACTACTAAAGATAATTTAGGATTTACCTTATGCTAAAAAGAAGAGAAAAAATGGGATATTTTTATAATTCAAAATGGAAGCAGCAAAAATGCTAAACCCATACCACATATTTGTCAAACTGAATTGAATACTACATTTTGCCCTGGGTCAAAGGCCCAGCAAACAGGTAGGTAGTAACTCAATGCAAGTTTATTTATTTGCCTCTGATGTTGGAACCAAATATTTAAGGTATAAAATACTAAGGTAAGTTATTTTCTTTTTGTAACCAAGATAGAGATGAAGAACATTTCCTTGAATAGATTTATGGCCTGACTGCAGATTCCAAAGGCAAAAGCATGAGGTAGGCATCAAATTAGTTATGTGGAGTATTTTGAGGTTTGCCCAGTTATAATGAAGAGAGAGAACGCTGTCCTCATTACACATTTTCTCTGACTTGCAATAATTCAAAAATAGTTATATGACCAGCTAGCTCCCCATGACCTCCTAGGCCTACATATCCTGCAAAATAAACCAAGCTCTGACCTTCTCATTTTTGGTAAATTTCTATTCATTCTTGAGAGTACAGTTTAGGGCCAGATTTGGATACTGTGATCTACACCTAAGATCTATGATGTATAATTAATAATAATAATGATGCACATTTTATGGGGCTTTACTGTTTATAAAATACTTCTCCCACAATATCCTTTTGAGTCGAGAAATGTGCTCTTTAGTAAATGTTGATATTTATTAGATTGCAAAGCTATAGCAAAGCAATAAAAGGAATTCAGACCTCTTGACTTTAAATCTCATCCCTTGTTAGCTACTTAAGTTTTTCGTTTTTTGTTTCTGCTTCTATAATCCTCACCAACTTCAAAAAATCACTTTAGCAAAAGTCTCCTAATAAATTTCAGCATTTGTTTTCACTTGATGCCTTATACTGAAGATCTCTTGCCCAAACAGAGAAAAGAACCTTAGAAAAGAAACCTTATTTTATACACATGTACATACATATATACATAAATACATACATACAGAGATTGCATAGCTTATTAGAGAGATGGCCAGCCTTGGAAATAGAAGACTTGGGTTCAAGTCTTTACTCTGACACACATTAGTTGTGTATACAAGAGCCAGTCATGTAATATCTCAGTTACCCAGGAAACTTTCTAAATCTCAGATGAGTTTCTGGTCTGCAACAGTAAAGGGAATTCTTTACATTGATGAAATCAAAAGCCTGGACCCTCCCCTACTGCACATGTCTATGTCCCAATTAAGACATTGGATACCCAATTATCAGAGATGTACATACACACACACACACACACACACACACACACTCAGCAAAGGCAGCCTAATGGATGGAAAGCTGGTCTCAAAGTCAGAAAGACCATGTTCATATCCTGCCTCTGACCTACACAAGCTGTGTGACCCTGGGCAAGTTATTTAAACTCTTAGCACTCTAGGAAACTCTCTAAAAATATAAGTTGTAATAAGTTATAGGGAAGATGCCATCCTACATTGATAGAGGGGATTTCTTTACCCTAGTATTTCCAATACCTGTGAAATCAGAGATCTAGTCTTTATCCCTAAACACATGCCTATATACACATACACAAATACACTCACACACATACACAAGGCATACTATTTAAAAGCTTCACCTTTTCAAATGCAGTTTTCTTCTTGTAAGATACAGTCTTTAAGTTAATCCCCATTAGATGTATAAATAAAATTAATGTTTATTATGAATCCCATTTTGCTGCAGTGGGAATTTTTTGAATGTTTTGTAAGATGGTATAATGACATCTCTGTAATATTGATGAAATCCAAATGGGTATGGGCATCTATGAACTACACATGACTGCCTCAGGACTGCTCAATGCTGAGACTGAATAGTATAGATAAAAGGACTTAACTTTCCATTTTCCTTACAGAAAGGTGAATGGCTTCCTAGACAGCTCTTCCCTAGGAATGTAGCATATCGTGAAGGAAAACTACAAATAGCATGAAGATACCTTGACATGAGCAATAACAGAAGAAAAAAAAAA